TAAAGGCCAAATGTTTTCTCTGGTATGCAGATGCTAATTTATAATGGGGTAGGTGAGAGCACTCGGGGAGAATAGAGTTACCTTAGAATAGGTAGAGGGGAGTGAAGGGAGGGGAGGGGAGGGGATATTGGGTTAGGAAGGACAGTAGAATAAAACAGACATTATTACTTTATGTACCAATGTGATTCTACAACATACACCATCAAAAAATGATAAATTATACCCCATCTATATATGATCTATCAAAGTGCATAAATGCATTCAACTGTCATGTATAACTAATTAAAACAAATTAAAAATTTAAAGAGCAATGGATGTTGCACTTTAAACATTTTATAGAAAGGGATGTTTTCTCGATTGGCTGGACACGAAAAATTTCTATGTATGTTAATAATTTCAAAGACATTGTCACACCTACCAATGTAAATTGACCCTTTAGAAATTAAAATAGAGCCTGTTATAGGTTTTTACAGTATGCGCCAGACATGAGAAGGGCCTGTAGGATTGGGAACAATGGGGACAGCCTGTCAGCTCTGGGGAGGCTGAAATCAAAGGTTCCAGCAGCAACTGGGCCTCCATGGGGCAGATCTACTCCCACTAACCCAGTGTTTTCCTCCTCAGAATTCGACAAAGGAGAAGACCTCTTCCTTTTTCAGTGCTTTTGAGAGCTGAACCTTGAATAGTTGGTCTCTGAATAAAGAGAGCATGAAAAAACTGTGTGCAGCTAAAAAACATAAATAAACTCCAGTTAGTAAAAACAAAACTAACGAGTAAAATATATAACTTTAGGTTCTCAGGACACAAGGTGAATACACCAGGAAAACCATGAGCTCAGAAAAAGATCAAAGTTTTTTTTTTTTTCTTTTAAAGGGGCAGCTGTAATTACTCTGGTACAGGAGGCTGTACACATCAGACCCGAGTGCCCTTTTGGATAAGATGAGTCAGTGCAGATATTTAAAGAATGGGAGAGGCAATGAGTTCCTCAGGAAGAAGTTCTTAAAGAAAAGACTTGTGCCTGTGGGACCTTCTATTTTCCTTCCCTGTCCTAGGACTCGAGTGAGTTCTTACACACCGTTATTGGTAGGTTCCTGTAACTGAGCTTCCCTTACTGGAGACTTCTTACACTCTTAGCTCACTGTGTGCTCAGTCCCCATAACTGGGGACTTCTTGGACACCCTGAGTTCTTGCTCCATCTGTCTCTGGTGAATTCTTTTGGGGGAGAAGAAACTGCCCACTAGGACTCTGCACTTAAATTCTCCTAGGACACACCTCCTTCCCACACACTCTCCCTCCCAATTCCTGACCTCCAAGACCCATTTTCTACCTTGGCTCATGAATGAGTTCACCTGGTTGCTGGCGACTTGTTTGCTTCTGCTGTGCTCCCTGAGACAATTGTACAGGTGTTTGTATGGACTCTATCGGGGCCAGGACATCCAGGCAGAGCAGATACCACAAAGTAGGGTGGGGAGTATCTCTGCTCTCCACCAGGTTCATGCTGCACACAGCCACAGAGATCCAGGAGGAGCGCCCAAGTCCTGAGAATCAAGCTCATCTCTCCAAACCCGAGAATCCACTAAGAGACAGGAGGTAGAGCGAGAGCAAGGCTTTTGACTGACAGTCTCACAACACTGGGTGTCTGGGTGAGCAGGTGCCCTCAGAGCAGCCAC